CGTAGGCATCGATGCGTAGACCTACTCTGGGAAGGGGTTGACCGGGAAGTATAGGTTGCAGATGGTTGCAGATGGGTCAACATGCATACCTCCCAAATCTCAATTATGCGCTGTATGGAGATGTGCCTCCTGCATGCTGATTGGTTGATCCGACTGCCTGGAAGGTGGGCAGAAGGCAAGGCACATTCAAATGATAACATGGAGCGACTAGAGGAGAGATTTGCCGACAAAGTGAGGCGATATAAACATACCCTGTTTCCCCCAAAATAAGACATCCCCTGATAATAAGCCCAATCGGGCTTTTGAGCGCATGGCAATAAGGCCAAGCGCTTATTTCAAGGTTCAAAAAAATATAAGACAGGGTCTTATTTTCGGGGAAACACGGAAGTATAAATGCAACAGTTATGCAACCGTCTCTGAATGACAGACGCATACGTTCCCTGATGTGCAGTGATGCAGAAGTCTTAACCCTAACTTAAGGAAGCTGTAAAGAGCTCTACCACTGTAGGATAGGGGTAAGGATAAGGTCTAGGGGTGACATGTTAGCAGTATTCCAGTATTTAAAGGGCCACAAAGAAGAGGGAATCAGCCGAAGAAGAAAAGACAAGAAATAATGGATGGAAACTGATCAAGGAGAGAAGCAACCTGGAATTAAGGAGAAACTTCCTAACAATGAGGACAATTAAACAGTGGAACAGCTTGCCTTCAGAGGTTTTGGGTGCTTCATCATTGGAAGTTTTTAAGAAGAGACTGGAAAGCCACCTGATTGAAATAATATAGGGTCTCCTGCTTGAACAGGTGGTTGGACTAGAAGACCTCCAAGATCCCTTCCAGCTCTATTCTGATTGATAGATAGATGAGATATAGATAGATAGATAGATAGATAGATAGATAGATAGATAGATAGATAGATAGATAGATAGATAGATAGATTTCTGTTCTAAGGCAAATCTGTTAGAATGGTCTCCTTTCCTCTTTGACAGGGTCCTCCTGGCAACCCCGGCCCTCCTGGCCCTCCTGGCCCACCTGGAGCTGGGATTGATATGTCAGCCTTTGCTGGCCTTGGCGGCCAGACTGAGAAAGGTCCTGATCCAATGCGCTACATGCGGTCCGATCAGGCTGTCAGCAACTTGCGGCAACATGATGTTGAGGTTGATGCCACACTGAAGAGTCTCAATAACCAGATTGAAAGCATCCGAAACCCTGAGGGCAGTAAGAAGAACCCAGCTCGAACCTGTCGTGACCTGAAACTATGCCATCCTGACTGGAAGAGCGGTGAGTCTCCAGCAGGGTGCTCTTTCCTGATTTGGGGTGGACTGGAGTTCTGTCAGCACAGTTATGTAAAACTTAACCCAGAGAGAACCAAATGATTCCCAATCAAAGCATATATAAATGTCCCTCACAGCAAGAGTGGTTTGGATATTTTTGATTCCTGCCACCCAAAAATGTGGGATTCTAACAGTAGTTAGAATGCAATATTGCAGGCTAACTCTGCCCACAGCCTGTAGTTCAATCCTGACTGGCTCAAGGTTGACTCAACTTTCCATCCTTCCGAGGTTAGTAAAATGAGGACCCAGATTGTTGGGGGCATTAGGCTGACTCTGTAAACTGCTTAGAGAGGGCTGTAAAGCACTATGAAGTGGTATATAAATGCTATTGCTATTGCTATTTGATCCACTTCATTGAAGATATTAGAGATAGTGGCTTATAAATCTGGGCATATTCTTTTCCCAGAATGTCACTGTAAACCACATTGTACTAAATGATAAAATGTAATTCTTTTTCCCTAAGCTCAGATGCACATTCTGTTATCAGAGTAAATCAAGTAATGCAACCTGAAAATGATAGACTACAGTCCAAAATATTAAAGTGTACTATGGAATCCTCAATCATTGAATACTGTAGTATTCAACATTAGAGATATGTTTATAAGCTAAACCTTTCAAAAACCTTTTAAGATTTAGCTTTCTTCATAATTTATAGAGTAGTTGACGTTTCATCCTTTTTACATTCATGTCCTGATTACCAATAAATGTCATTCTGTAGAAATTATAATTCCATTCTAATATGATTAATTAGACATCTGGTGCATTAGTTAGACATCCGAGGCTACCCCTTGGATAGGAAAATGGCCAGTGCAGGAAAAAAAATTATGGACAAGTGTGACAAAAAAAGAGAGGAATATATACAGAGGTGGGCTGCTGCCAGTTCAGACGAATTCAGGAGAACCGGTAGTTTTGACCAGCAGCTGGGCCTGCCCACCCGCCCCGGCGCTATCCCGTCCTATATAATCGCTGTGTGTTTGATGCTGCACGCGTGCGTGGAAGGCGCACACACTCACATTTTCAGTTCTGGGTGAACCGGTTGTTACATTATGTGATGCCCTCCTCTGAATATATATGTACAAGGACCCAGATTGTTGGGGACTCTGTAAACCACTTAGAGAGGGCTGTAAAGCATTGTGAAACAGGGGTGAAATCCAGCAGATTCTGACAGGTTCTGGAGAACCGGTAGTGGAAATTTTGAGTAGTTTGGAGAACTGGCAAATACCACCTCTGGCTGGCCCCAGAGTGGGGTGGGAATGGAGATTTTGCAATATCCTTTCCCTGCCACACCCACCAAGCCACGCCCACAGAACCAGTAGTAAAAAAAATCGGATTTCACCACTGCTGTGAAGCGGTATATAAATCTAAGTGCTATTGCTATGCATGTAAAAATAGAGAGTGACATAACATGCGCTTGTAAGTGACTTTGTTTCCCTTTTACAGGTGATTATTGGATTGACCCCAACCAGGGCTGCACTTTGGATGCCATAAAGGTTTTCTGCAACATGGAGACTGGCGAGTCCTGTGTCTATCCGAAGCCAAAGAGCATTCCCAGGAAGAATTGGTGGACAAGCAAGAACAAGGAGAAAAAGCACATCTGGTTTGGAGAAAGCATCAATGGAGGATTTCATGTAAGTAGTCATAATCAGTAACTGCCTTTGCATTGATTAGACAGATTTGGAGAGAGGGCCAATGTTCTGTGAACATCCCAAGGTCCCTTTCTCAGCTTTTCTGAGTTAACAAATTCAACCTTGTTTAGTAACTGCAGTTTTTCTGCAACACTGTCTGAAGGAAAAGTCCTGAATCGCATAGCCTTGATTCCATGTGACAACCCTGAAGTGATCGTGGCTGAGGCCATCTTGGAGGCTTCAGGGCTGCCACACAACGGGCCGGGGGGGGGGTAGTTAGATGAGGTTTGTAACCAAATCAATAAAACTTTCCTGTGGGAATCCAAGGACATTCCCACAGGTGGCTGGCCAGAGGAGGGGTGAAGTAACCAAGCAACCAGCCAGCTCCTGGATTGGACAGCATGATCAGTGACTTGGGGGTGGGGGAGAGGAAACTTCTACTTTTAATTAGGTGAAAGCTGTGGGAACTTTTAGAGTTGGCTTTCACCAGTTGTGCCAATATGATCTACCCAATAAAACTGTCCTTTGAGGAATCTGCCTGCCTCGGAGTTCTAATTTCTATGGGTGAATTACTTGGAACGCTGACATCATGCTTTTGTCCTCTTGGCCATCACGTGTGCTTCCTGTTCCTTCCCCCTTGGCTCTTTTTAAGGTTTCCATGTCCTAATGGCTTTGCCTTGTCCTTTTCCAGTTTAGCTACGGAGATGACAACTTGGCTCCTAACACTGCCAACATCCAGATGACTTTCCTGCGACTCTTGTCTTCTGAAGGCTCACAAAATCTTACCTACCACTGCAAGAACAGTATTGCGTACATGGATGCAGCGTCCGGCAACCTTAAGAAAGCTCTCCTGATACAGGGATCCAACGACGTGGAGATGAGAGCCGAGGGCAATAGCAGGTTTACCTACACTGCCTTGCAGGATGGATGTACTGTAAGTAGAAAGAAAGCAATCATGATTTATTTGGGGATATTGATAGAAGTACTGTAAGTAGAAAGAAAGCAGCCATCTCTGAAATGGTACAGGGCTTCCTGTCAGAGCAGGGGTTTGGACTAGAACAGGGGTCGGCAACCTTAAACACCCAAAGAGCCACAAAGGTCCTAACCGGAAGCCCCCGTTCAATTCTGGAGCCAACTGGAAGTCCAGTTCCCACATCATAGTCTCCTCCTAGCACGGTGTCCTTTTTCCTCTACCTGTCCTAACCGAAAGCCCTATCAATTCTGGAGCTGACCAGCAACAAGGAGCCGCAGCAGAGGGATGAAAGAGCCACATGCGGCTCCAGAGCCGTGGGTTGCTGACCCCTGGACTAGAAGATCTCCAAGGTCCTCTCCTTATCCCTATTATTCTAAATTATTTATTGGGGATTAGGCTTCTGCCTAATTGGGTGACCCGGTACCCTCATTTTGGGGAGCATAAAGTGGGAAGAAATTGCAGCCTACATAGAGCAGATTTCTAATCATAATTTTACACATTTCTAAAATAATTTTTGAACTGTGATCTTGATGATGGGTTGTTTTATTTACTTAGCATTGGGCTAATTACTACCAAGAAAGTAAATACAAATACCACACCAATTGTTTAATTTAAAGACAAGAGATCATAGTGATAGTACCAGACTTAGCTTGCTGATCAAAGAGCGTAGCCGAGATTTCCATTTCAGCCAAGTAGCCAGTTAATATTTTAAGTATGAGAGCATACCTGAGTAGGGATTTCTGTGTTTTTTTAGTGATGCAAGCTTTATAGCTAAAACAGAATGACGGTTTTAATCATCCTAGGAAATTCATCCTAGGAGTAGGGAAAGCCTCACATCTAGCACGCTCACCAGGAGGAGTTGAAAGAACATGTGTGCTCTGTATATGTGTACAGGGGAAAAAGTCAGAAGGTGGTGATATCAGATTAGACCAGGGGTGAAATCCAGCAGATTCTGACAGGTTCTGGAAAACCAGTAGCGGAAATTTTGAGTAGTTCGAAAAACCGGCAAATACCACCTCTGGCTGGCCCCAGAGTGGGGAGGGAATGGAGATTTTGCAGTATCCTTTCCCTGCCACGCCCACCAAGCCACGCCCACAGAACCGGTAGAGAAAAAATTTAGATTTCACTCCTGGATTAGACGTTTCTTAGATAAAGAGTGACAGACATGGAAATGACACAGAGTAAATCTTAAATCTAGGTCTACACTCTGTTGCCTGCTTGTGGTCAGGTAGGCTGAGGTATCAGTGCCCCTGAGTTGACACTTCCAGCATAAAAAGTTGCATCTCAAAGAGACGAAACTTTTAACTGCATGCCTGGTCTGCTCTTATGGGCTATACTGCCGGGTTAATATTTGAAATAAAAATGGTAAGTAGCTAGTCATTAAGCAAGGGCTTTACCGTTTTTGACAGAAACCACCCCAAAAGTTACTTACACCCTGGTTCCAGGGTACCAACTGCTGCGTGCACCTTCCGCAGTCACATGATCACAGTTTGGTTGCTCGGCAACTGCCTTGCCTTTGCAGTCAGTTGCAACGTTCTGTGGTCACGTGACACAATTTATGATGGCTTTTGACAGAAACTGGCCTTTTCAGCAGGTGTCTGGCCAAAAAACACCCATAGGAAAGCACTGGCTTGTTTAATGACTGCAGTGTTATTCGCTTAACAACTGCCACAAAAACATTGTAAAATTGAGTAAGTTTCATTGGTGCCTTGACTTATGACTGTCATGATTTACGATGAAAACCAGGCTCTCATTACGATCGTAAATTGAGGATTACCTGTATTGAGCAAGTTATATTAGACAATATTAGATTGAAAGGAAGAAGAGAGACAGTTCTGAATCCAGCTCTGTAGGAAGGTCTTCTGTTGACCATATTATATACTCTGTCTTGCCCAGGTTACCAAAAAGGAGTCAAAAGTATATAAAAGAGTCAAAAATATATAAAGCCAGAGAGATTTGTTCTAGTATTTGAAACCTGCCACATTATTTTATTCATCAGAACACATAGGGTATAGGTGTTCCACAGTGGCGGGTTTCAAATTTTTTTACTACCAGCTTGGTGGGTGTGGCATAGCTTGGTGGGTGTGGCTTAGCTTGGTGGGTGTGGCTTGGTGGGTGTGGCAGGGGAAGGATACTGTAAAAACTCCATTCCCACCCTACTCCAAGGCAAGGTTACTGCAAAGTCCCCATTTCCTCCCAATCAGCTGGGACTCGGAAGGCAGAGAAGAGATGGGGGCGGGGCCAGTCAGAGGTGGTATTTACTGGTTCTCTGAACTACTCAAAATTTCCGCTACCGGTTCTCCAGAACTGGTCAGAACCTGCTGAAACCCACCTCTGCTGTTCCATCAACCCACCCTGTCTGAAAATATAAATATTCAAGAGAACATTAGATTCTGATCTTCTAGAATGCCATAATCTTCTAGAACCCCACACCAGATCCATGAGCAGGTGTTATGACGTCACCCTTCAAAACTACATTGCAAGCAAAACAAGACATCATAATTCCCCACCTGCATTTTTGAAATATTGATGCTGCCATCAAATTCCACTGATTTGAAAGTAGACACGGCCAGTCTAAGCATGCCATGCCTATCCAGGTGTACTGTATTATTATCCAAGCACCTCATTGAAACTGGAGCACAAAGATCTTGAAGTAATGCGTCCTTATATGTGTGTGTGTCTGTTTTCACCATTCCAGAAACATACTGGCAAGTGGGGGAAGACAATCATCGAGTATCGATCTCAGAAGACTTCGCGCCTGCCCATCATTGACATTGCGCCTATGGACATTGGTGGCGCCGATCAGGAATTTGGTGTTGACATTGGCCCCGTGTGCTTTTTGTAAAAGGAGAACAAACCCTAAAATCAATATTTTTTTACCGATCCAAGTACTTCCCAATCACTTTTAGGACTTCTGCACTGAATGGCTGAACCAAACTCCTCCCTTTCCCTCCCCCCACCAAAAAACCTTTTTGCTTACATTTTTGGACTCTCTTATCATTTTCTGTGGCCACCATTGCTTGAGTAGATCACGAAGCCAGCATAAGGAAGGAAGGAAGGAAGGAAGGAACAACTAATAATGGTATTATTTATTTATTGTCTTCCTAGAGGGCCTTTCTTGGGTCAGGTGGTGATAGGAAGCTCACAAGCATATATGAAGGGTCCTTCCCTCCAAGTTGCTGATGTTCCCAATCCTGGTTGTAGCCAAATCTTTTCCCCACTCCATTCTGAGTGCGTATTTCAAAGCAAGATTACTGTGTACGATACTAAAGATGGTGCTATTATTGTTAAAACAAGTCTGTATTTTTTAACATCAATTGATATAAAAACCTTTGTTGGAAAATAACAAGTTGATCTGATTATTCTTGTTTTTGTCTACGAGTCTGAATTTTATCGACCGGTGCCTCAACTTTATATTTTCCTTTTGTAAAATCAAATCAGCCCTAAGGTTAGTTTTTAAATCTCTCCAGTACTCATGCTAACTTGCACTAGAAAACAAAATAACCCCTCGCCTCCCCCAATGATTAAGCCTTATATACCAGAGAGGAGATGTGGGTTTTGGAAGAAAGAATACTGCCTTTCCACTCCCACAGATAAGTAACAATGCTAAATTTTTCTCCTGTGGACAGCTCCCTTGTTTGGTAAGATTTAGTTGAGCAACAATGTTTTCTTAAAAGCATTGCTGATGTTAGTGATGTTACCAGTTCTAGCTGACTGTAAGCATAGACTAAGCTTTTTTCCAATTATATAGTCTTTAATTGGCTTACCCCTAACCCCCCCCCCCCAAATCGTAAAGCTAAGGATCTTAATTCTCTGTTAAGAAAAACAAAATAAGATGAATCATATACGCCATTCCTACATGAATAATATATGTGTACCAGGGGTGGGTTCTACTTACCTTTACTACCAGTTCGCAATGGGAGTGCGTGCGCGCTTCTGTGCATGCGCAGAAGCTTCTGTGCATGTGCAGATTGTCCATGATGACGTCCGGGTGGGTTGGCAGAGCCTCCCACTGTTTTTACTACCGGTTCGCAAGAACCAGACCGAACCAGGAGCAACCCAGCACTGATGTGTACCAGGGATTGTGATGGTGGACAGAACAGTTATATGACTAAAAGAAAATAGGTGGTCGAATTTTCTAGCATTGAAATGCATAGCAAAGGGCACCATGAATATTTACCTACCTCCTAAAAGTCAATACAACACTCTCCAGCTTAGGGAAATGCACTCAAAAGGTTAGAGTCAAACTTTGTGTTGACCCATTGAAACAAACAGAATTTTAGTTCCATATGACCAACGTCTCCATTTATTTCAGTATCCAAAAATGGCTAATTTTAATTCCAACCTGTAATTAGTAACAGATACTGTACAAACCCCCCTCCCCCAGAGCCTTATACAAAACAAAAGAATAATATATTCTTATCCACTATATCAGAAAGGGTTAAAAAGGAGTAGGACAATCTATCAACATCTCTTAAGTCCTGAGAAACTTTCACAGTTATTAAATATTAATGGTCTGGTCCACCATCTCAATTTATCAGGATGAATTCAAAACTCACAGCTTTGGCAATGTATGATCATGGGATGGGGGTGGGAGTTTTATCAGTTGCCTGCTCTAACCAGACTTCATGAAGAGATTCAGATGCTGGGCATCTCTGAGTCTCCATATCTCCATATGGGTCTTTTCAGCACATTACAGGAAGGACTGATCAATGCTTTAGTCAACTCTGCCTTCCAGAAGGAAGTTGGATGAGAAGCAATAGTAGTTACATTTCCCAGATTCTTTTTGGCTACATCCGTGTTTTGGATCTAGGTGGAAGTGTATGTACTTTCCATTCTTTTTGAACTTCTGAAAATATGTACTCATTTTTCACAACACAGATCAATTTATCAAAAATAGAACTCCGAATATTATAGGTCAATAATCGCCACTGGGGATGCTTGGAAGCATCAGACGTTTCCCAGTTAGAAAACTGAAAAGCACTTGGTTATTTTTGCCAATTGAGCCCAGTATCAGGGATGAGTAATACTCTCACAAGACTGGGCATCTGCTGGTCCTCCTGTCTCCAGAACTATCTGTTATTGGCATAGACAGACTCTCATAGTGTGAGATTAACTCTACTGCAGAAGCTTCACATGGACGGGGATTCATATAGAGAGTTAGGATAGAGTTAACCTTCAATAGCAGGCATGGGAGTACAGGCAATGAGGCTGAAGACATAACTAACTATGGAATTGGCTGCTGCCTGCCTGCTAGTCAGCTGTTGGGTAATCAGCGGTGATGTAGGAAACAAATTGTCAATTTCAAGTCAATTTTGATTCTTGACAAATGCCCCTGCAATCTTTTGGGCAGCATTTTCCAGAAGCGGCTTGCCAATTCCTTCTTCGTTTTGTCTCCATTATCTTCCTTTAAACAATAATCCTTGTCACTGCAGTGCACCCTGGTTCATGAAGAAACCCATCGGCGGAGTGTCTTTTATAGGCTGAATCCGTTAGTGGACTGAAACTGCTGATGTCACATTCGTGTGACCTGGTAGACTTAATGCCCTATTTCTATCTTGTCTCTCAAGTGTCCAGACAGGATTCTTACTTGTCCCCAATAGCCAAACACCGGCTGTCGAGCACCATCATCATGCTCGAGACCGCAACACAGGGCGTGAGGACAGGACGGAGCCGTACCGGAGCTGCACACTTCACGGACAGAATAGGTGTACATTCACACACGGGGGGGGGGGGTTTGCATGTAGGCGCTACGGAAGGCGGTCGGGTGGGGGTGTAAGGTGTGTCAGGATTAGGGCTCCAGGATATCGGGGTGCCAACTGTTCGAGACGCTTTGGGAATGCTGCCGGCGCTTGTTATCGCCCCGCCCACTTCCTGGCCTGCTGATTCGCTGGCGGCAGGGCGTTGTCATGGGCGGTGTTCGAGCCCCACCTCACAGCTGATGGGCGCGGGGTGGATATAAGCGCTACAGGCCATATGCATGTAGCGCCAATTTTTTATCGTTAGGACTGCAGCGTTTTTGGAACGAACAAGATTAAACCAGCATTATACATCCAAAACGTCATTCTTGGTGGTTTGTACTTGTTGCGCCTGAGGATCCTGAGACTGGCTATTTATTGTATGAGACCTCTTTGCTCACGGTGCAGTCATATTTGGAGAGGGAAGACATGAAACGATCCCACTTTCCAAGACGTTCCTTCCATGCGTCTTCACAACCTTCTTCCCTGTCACTCAAGGACAGGAAATTCCACCCCACTGCTTAAAAAGCATTTTTTTTAAGGCCAAACCCTCAGCTTTTTAAGCCAGCGAACATTACATCGTGTACAGGGTGATGGGACTGATTGGTTTGCATCGGAAACAAGGGCAAAGAAGGAATGGATAAAAACAGCATCATGTTTGGCCAAATTCTGCCTTCTTCTCATGCCCTTTCAGGAACAACAACAACAAGGCTTCTTTGATAACATCCTTCCTTTTGGCTAGTGGGCATATACAGAGATTTGGGGATGAGAAAATTACCTGAGCATATTTATTTCTCTCCTTTCCAGGAAGAAGGCACTTACTTTAAAAACACACTAAAAACCATACAGGCCAGCAGGTTTGACGCACCGACAAGCCTCACCATCTGTAGCCTGGATGAGTTTGCTCTGAACTTGCACTCACTTCTTACAACTTGCCCTGCTTAGTGTCGTTGCTGCTCCTCTTAGGGTTTTCCCCCAAGGGTGGGTGGGGCTGAAGGTGAGTGGCATTCTCAGGCAAAGGTGGCTGGTAGCGGTAGCGGTAACCATAGGCACGCAGATGGTGGGTGAGGTATTCCAGGGTGTACATCCCCACTGAGTCCACATAGTGGAAAGAGACAGCCAGGTCAGAGCAGCACTGAGGTCCCTGAGGAAGGCAAAAAAATAAAATAAAAAATGGTGGTTAATTGCTGAGGCTAGAGTACAGACCTACCTGTGGTCACTCTAAGCTGGGTGGAGGAATGTGTGAAGCTTCCAGTTGCCCTTTAAAAAAGGACCCAATACACTGGGGTTGTAGAAGTCACTCCATTATCCCAAATCTCTATTCCCTTGAATCTATGCCTTCTGCCGCAAAGCTCCCAGTGATCAGTAAGATCCCACAGAGTTGGTCTCCTCCGGGTCCCGTCAGCTAAACAATGTCGGCTGGCGGGCCCACGCAGGAGGGCCTTCTCTGTGGCTGCCCCAGCTCTCTGGAACCAGTTACCTCCTGAGGTCCGGACCATCCCCACCCTATTGGCCTTCCGAAAAGCGGTGAAGACCTGGCTCTTCCGGCAGGCCTGGGGCCGTTGATCTTGCTCTTGTGATCTGGCGAGATCCAGCCATGAATGGTGTGAATGAGTTTTTAATGTTTTTAATGTTTTTAATTTTTCAATGTCTTTTTATAATGATTTTTAAAATGTATTGTGAGCTGCCCTGAGTCCTCGGAGAGGGGCGGCATATAAATTTAATTAATTAAATTAAATTAAATTAAATTAAATTAAATTAAATTAAATTAAATCAGATCATCTGTTCATATGAACACGGTTGCTTCTCAAATGATCAGGCATAAATGGAAAAAAAACCCAACAAAATACGGCTCCTGTATCAATGGAACTGAGAAATTATGGGCCACTCCATTTCAGGACTACTTTAACATTCCTGCATGAATAATTTCAGCAATGTCCTACAAGTTTTTGAAAGTTCTCAGGAGAGGCAAGCTAAGGTCTGATGAGATTTCTGCAATCTGAAGTAGGATGGGGCCCTGCTGGGAGGCCTGGGAGGCTCTTAATTCTGCTTGTTAAAAAAAAAAAAAGTCACAAGAAACTATTCTGTTAAGAAGAATACAAATAAAGAGTGAGGAACCTATGACTTCACTAGTTATTAGCCTTCATGAAAAGCCTTGCTGGTTTGGGCCTAGTGGCCCTTGAGATATTGAAGAACCACAAGTCCTTTATTCTGACATTACAAAAGCATTTTTTAAAAAAACTTTCCTTCATGCACACACACATACATGCATACATACAGTTGTTGGAAATGAATTCACCCAACAAGCATGGGTCGATGAAAACAAAGAGACTTTATTAAAAGAAAATAATAAAAACAATTTTGCAAAATAGGGTGGTATCGCAGCAGATCTCAACAAGGAGTTTGAGCCAGGAAGCCACACCTAAAGTTTCAAAAGCATTTCATTTTATAGTTCCCTATCCCGACACCCCCCCCCACACCCCTCCTACATCGGGTCCAGTGACCGATCATGGCTAGTCCGAAGCGCCTTTTAGAGAGAACATCACCTCTTTCTCTAATTACATGTCCATCAACACCTCCCTATAACTACCCATAAAATATTTTGCATGCATAGCTCTTTCTTATCTCTGTTGCCTTGGCATTCAAGAGTGGGCCTCTTTCTAACGGGCCTCAAACAAAAGAAGATCTATTCTAACACAACGTTGTTACATATTGGTATGGTTTCAGCATGTTCTCCATCTATGTTAAAAAGCAGAATAATGTCTAACAAATTTAACAGAGTAGCAGAGATGGAAGGGACCCTGCAGGTCATCCAGTCCAGCCCCCTGCCTGAGCAAAATTGAATCTTCACTTACAAGCGTTTCTAACCTATATACCTACATACTATTTTATTTTTGAATTTTCTCATATCCTACACAGTCAAAAGTAATCTGCTTTGAAAAGTTTCCTGAAAGAGCAATTACAGTTGGCTTCTTTCCATTTCAGCTCACAGCAAGCATTAGCTAATCTCCAATTAATCACTTAATCCTAGGGTCACTGAATCCAAATTCCCCTACTAAGATTAAATATATTTCTGGCATCTTTGCCCTCCAATTCCTCACTTCAGATTATTCTTTGGTCAGATAGGGGTTACCCATCCATGTTTCGCATTTGTCCACTTATACGAGTCCAATGGGACCCTTTTGCTCATCCAGTGTAACAAACACACCCCAGCCATCCCCATCCCACGGCTCAGGATGGCATCAAGCAACCCTCCTAAGTCTACCAGCTTCCAGAGGCAACATCATTGCCGAACCTCAGGCTTGAAAAATAGCAATTGGGAATGAAGCAAATGCAAGAGAAAAAGAGCATTTACTCCTTCTCCTATCCCTTTGTGGGAGAAAAGGTTTGTAGTATTAAGGCTACCTGCTGAAAAATTCTTTTTCTAGGCAAGCCTCGCCTTCTCTTTCATCTGATCACCCTATACAAAGACAGAAATGTGTCCCATCCACAACAGTCCCACCAACAGCTGGAGAGGCATTTCGATCATTGCCAAGAAAACCTTATGACCATGCTGGAAGTATAGAAATGGTTGACTTAGAGGTAAGCAGTGAAACTGCTGAAGAACCTGTGATCTTCAAATTGTGGCTGTATATTTAACCCCACTGGTCTCAGCAGCATAGTCTATAGTTAGAAAAATGGGGATTATAGCAGGTCCATGTCCATGGTTTCTAGTCTGTATTGTACAACTACGCTCAACAACTTACAGGGGTGCTAGGGAAGGCAAAAGAGTCTGCAATAGCCATCCACATCCAAGAGATCCCAGATTCAACCTCAGGCACCTCTGAGAGGGTTTTACGACAACTTGCCATAGCTCACTTACCACAGTCAACTCGCCATGGACAACTCACCCACAGGACAATTCAACAATTCAATTTAATTATTTTAAATAAGGTAAAGGCAAAGGTTCCCCTCGCACATATGTGCTAGTTGTTCCCGACTCTAGGGGGCGGTGCTCATCTCCGTTTCAAAGCCGAAGAGCCAGCGCTGTCCGAAGACGTCTCCGTGTCATGTGGCCGGCATGACTAAACGCCAAAGGCGCACGGAACGCTGTTACCTTCCCACCAAAGGTGGTCCCTATTTTTCTACTTGCATTTTTATGTGCTTTCAAACTGCTAGGTTTAAATAGTTTAAATATTTAAATCTAGTTTAAATGGGTTTTAAATAGTTAACAAAATATTTTAATTTTTATCATTCACATTTCATTTTGTCCCTCCTTGGGCATCCTTTCTTTAGTGATTCTATTCCACTATTTTCTTCAATATTAGTGTGACTCTTGTCCCGTGGTGAGTTATCCCACAGCAGGTTAGCCACAGTGAGTTGGCCATGGCAAGTTGTCCCATTCCGCCTCTGAGCAGCACTGAAGAAAGTTCTTGACAGAAAACCCTAAAAGAAACTGCTTCACCCTTGCAGGAGAAAGCTTAGTGTGTCACCTACCTCTACAATAGGATAATAGCAATAAGCCCAGTACCAGGAGCTTTTTGAGACTTTGCCTGTCAAGTGGTGCTCGGGCACGAAAGGATGGAAGGTCTCCCTCTTTCTCATGTCCCGGGAGTCGCCAGCTTCCACGCCCATCTTCTCCATGCACTGACCCAGAGCCAGGTCCTCCACTGACGTGGTGTGGCTGCAGACTTTGGTGGCAAAGCCGGCAACGAAACGACGCAGGGCCTCCTTGCTCAGGACGTAGCCTGCGCCCCCACTCATATAGCCTTGCTTGGCAAAGGGCCGGAAGCGCTTCCCAAAATAGATGGGCCTGTCGGAGGAGTAGTTGGAGAGCAGCCATCGGAGGTTTTCGAGCACCACAAAAGTATCGTCGTCTGCTTTGAGGAACCAGTCGGCCTGCTCAAAGTGATGTGTGTGTACATATTGGAAAGCCTTGATGGTTTTCCAGTAGAGCTGGTCCCTGCCTTCCTTGGTACCCAGTCCTACAGTGGGAAAGTCTTTGTCTTCCATTGAACTCATGAAAACGACCACGTTGCAATGACGGGTCCAAGAGGCCTTGACGTGGCGGGTTTTCTGCTCCAAGTTTTGGGGCCCTGTCATCACCCAGCACAGAATCCGTACCTTGTCGTACAGTTCATCTGCCACACTGTTATACACACCTGAGGAAGAGGGAACCAAAGAGTTACCATTTTTTTCAATGATCGGTCATCTTAGGAACCTAAGGTGCAGATAGTCCTCGATTTACAACAGCTCATTTAGTGACCATTCAAAGATACAACGGCAGTGGAAAAAGTGACTCATGTCCGGTTTTTTCCCCACACTTGTTGCAGCATCCCCATGGTCACATGATCAAAATTAAGATGCTTGACAGCTGGTTCATACCAGGGGTGAAATGTTCCCGGTTCGGACTGGATCGCCCGATCCGGTAGTGATGGAGGCGGGTGGTTCGGAGAACTGGTAGCAAAAATCCCTGCCTCCCCTCCCCCTATGCCCAGCTGAGCCGCGCAATCATCAGAGGCTTTTTTTTTTAATTTTTAAAAGCATTTTTTCTACAACCTCTTTGGCCGAAAAAATGCTTTTAAAAGTAAAAAAAAAGCCTCTGATGATCGCGTGGCTCAGCTGGGATCGTCAAAGGCTTTTAAAAGCATTTTTTCTACAACCTCTTCAGAAGTTGTAGAAAAAATACTTTTAAAAGCCTCTGATGATTCCAGCTGAGTTTCCTGATCGGCAGAGGCTTTTTTTCTTTTAAAAGCCTCTGGCGATCCCAGCTGAGTTGCCTGATCGTCAAAGGCTTTTAAAAGAAAAAAAGCCTCTGCGAATCAGGCAACTCAGCTGGGATCGTCAGAGCCTTTTGAAAGCATTTTTTTTAGAACCTCTTTGCTGAAGAGGTTGTAGAAAAAATGGTTTTAAAAGTAAAAGTAAAAAAAAAATTGGCCACGCCCACCCAGTCACATTACCCACCACCACCAAGCCACACCCAAAGAACCGGCAGTAACAAATTTTAGATTTCACCACTGGTTCATACTTATGATGGTTGCGTGCGCTCTGAGGTCATGGGATCACCTTTTGTGACCTTCTGACAAGGAAAGACAATGGGGAAGCCAGATTTACTTAACAACCATGTCCCTAACTTAACTTAACTGCAGTGATTTACTTAACAACTGTGGCAAGAAAGGTCGTAAAAACGGGGCAAAACTCCCTTAACAAATGTCTCCCTTAGCAACGAAAATATTTGGCTCAATTGTGGTCGTAAGTCGAGGACTCCCTGTATTGATTACAAGTTTAACTTGCTCTTAGACCGCAGATGTTCAACGGTTACATCAGCAGATGTTCCTAAAGCCCGGGCCTCAAAATCCCACTTCAGAATTCTCAGATTCCGTGACCACAAATGTCGCAACGACAATGCTGGACGCACAATTATATCGTTTACTGCAGATATCTCGTTCATGGGCTGCAAGGTGAAGCTGTTCCTTGCAGCCAAGACTAGCCGACCGAGAAACACACTGTACATCTCAGTAGCACTGCAGAATATAATTCATTGCATGATGTTCCCAGACAATGAATCATTAGCATGGTCCAGATCCTCAGCCAAGACAATCTGCTCGACTGTAAACCCTTTTGACTGGACCATATGGAGCATTTAAAGTCGGACAAAAGATTAAATTGGGGGCTCACACTCCCTATTTAGTTTGGCAAGTGTGATAGGACAAAAAAGTTTCCCCCAACTAACTAATCTGAAGTGAAACTTTCCAGCAATCAACGCACAAGACATCACACTACAATACGTCAAGCCTACAAAAACACATTGGACGTTTTACAAGTATTTTCAACTGTTTGTGTTATGTCCGTGCAGGCGTGAGCAGAGACTTTTCTTCTGCCATGCAGGTGCGGGACATATTTTAATGTTATTGGTTAAAGGCTGATAGTTTTCCTTTAAAAGGGGCTATCAGCCGGAAATTGCATGTTGGTTTTACTGAATCATTATCTGCAATAAACAGATAATTGCTGTTGGAAGTTTGGCTTCTCGTCTGTGTTCCTACTCCCACACATTCCAGTTTGTTTAGGCAAAAGCTTAATATCGGTCTAAATGAAAAGGCAATTATCCAGAGGTGGGTTTCTCATAATTTTACCACCGGTGAAATTGCCACGCACCGAAAATGTGAGCACGTGTGCACACGCTCACTTCGCTCATGCGTGCGCCTTCCGCGCATGTGCTTTGCTCACGTGTGTGGTTTGCACACATGCAGTGGCTTAGAAAACGTGGCTAAATAGGATGGCATAGTGCCGGGGAGGGGGGGCAGGGGCGGGCCCACCTGCAGGTCATCATTACCGGTTCGCTTGAACCAGCTAAATACCACCACTGGACATATCCATACTTATTCCTTTCTAATGCACTTTCCTTTCCCAATTTGAAATACAACAGGGGTGAAATCCAAAATTTTTCCCTACCGGTTCTCTGGACGTGGCTTGGTGGGCGTGGCAGGGGAAGGATACTGCAAAATCCCCATTCCCACCTCACTCCAGGGGAAGGATACTGCAAAATCCCCATTTCCTCCCCACTCCAGGGGAAGGATACTGCAAAATCCCCATTCCCTCCCCACTCCAGGGGAAGGATACTGCAAAATCCCCATTCCCTCCCCACTCCTGGGGGAAGGATACTGCAAAATCTCCATTCCCACCCCACTCCAGGGGAAGGATATTGCAAAATCCCCATTCCCTCCCCACTCCTGGGGGAAGGATATTGCGAAATCTCCATTCCCACCCCACTCCAGGGGAAGGATACTTCAAAATCCCCATTCCCTCCCTACTTCTGGGGGAAGGATACTTCAAAATCCCGATTCCCTCCCCACTCCTGGGGGAAGGATACTTCAAAATCCCCATTCCCTCCCTACTTCTGGGGGAAGGATACTTCAAAATCCCCATTCCATCCCCACTCCTGAGGGAAGGATACTTTGAAATCCCCATTCCCTCCCCACTCCTGGGGGAAGGATATTTCGAAATCCCCATTCCCTCCCCACTCCTGGGGGAAGGATATTGCAAAATCTTCATTCCCACCCCATTCTGGGGCCAGCCAGAGGTGGTATTTACCGGTTCTCTGAACTACTCAAAATTTCTGCCGCCAGTTCTCCAGAACCTGTTAGAACCTGCTGGATTTCACCCCTAAAATAAAACCTCTATTCCTTATGACTGCTATGGCAAACTTGAGGACACCAGGATGGGGGAAAGGATTCGGCTTGACCTGTTCTCTTCTGTTCTTACCTGCTTTGGGTAAGTGTACAGAACTGACAAGATCTGATTTAGCCAACACGCTTTCTAGATCCTTGGAGCCATGTGGCATCTGGAGGCCAAGATGCATGGATCTTTCCCATGTCAGGTTTTGCACAAGGTAGAAGATGCTTAAAAAGCCAGAAATGAGGCCTAGGAGGAAAGCCGAAAACGAAGTCTTGGAGCTTAATACACCCATGCCAGGGATGAAAACCTCAAGTGAGGATGCGTCACATAGCCTGTAATGGGGGAAAAGCAGAATTAAGTGGAAGAAGCCTCTGCTGATTGCCAACATTATTGTTACATCTGTGGATTCCTATCTTCATTTTATTCCAATCACCACTGGCATCAAGCAAATTGGGTGGGAAGTGCACACACATCTAATGTGGAGATGTATGGACTGTTATATGGTGTTCCAAAATCTATAACCTAAAGTTAGCAGAATAACAGATTTGGAAGGGACCTTGTAGGTCATCTAGTCCAACCCCCCACCCAAGCAGGAGACCCTACACCATTTCTGACAGACGGCAGACCAGTCTCTTCTTGAAAGCTTCCAGAAAGCTTCAAGTTATGATTAAGTCGCCACATTTACTCAGTTTTAACACCTCTACAGGCTGTGGATATATCCAAGGTTCTTCCTGGACCGTAGTAGGAAACTCTTAGAGAGAAACAATTGCCAACAAAAAATATCTATCTTGGACCAGAGACTATAGTTCTACAGACTGTGGAAGACTGCAGTCCTAATTCCCCAACTTTCCTCAACCTGGTGCGCTTCGGATGTGTTGAGATTGCAACTCCAGCTAGCTAACCATAAATAATACATCTGAGGATGCAATTTCCTCATCTAAGAAGACACAGATCAATGTGTCTTCTCCTTCAAAGAAGAGGTATCTTACCTGGTCTGCTGGATAAAAAGTCCACAGCAATCACTACCACACCACTGCCTGCAACCTTTTGTTTCCAAAAGCTTTTATTTCTTTTAAATTGCCTTAGCATAACTGGTTTTTTTTAAAAAAAAAATCTAGATAGAAATATCTCACAGTGAAGGGACTGTGACTGCTATTTCTATCTCTGTTTCTATCTCTCATATCTATATCATCTATTTCTGCATCAATATCGATCACCAAATATCAGGGTGGGTTTGATTTAAATCGAGTTGATTTAAATCACAATTTAAATCATGATTTAAATCACTAGTAAAAAGGCTTGATTTAAATCAACTCTATTTAAATCATAATTTTTAGAGAGCAACTGTCATCTCTGCTACTCCTTTGACCCAGTTGATTCACTGATAGTCCCAGTGTTGCAGAATATACAGCCTCATGCTACATAACTAAGCTCCATTTCATGCTGAATAAACTAAATTATTTATGTATCTTAAATAGAAAACTATCTTACAATAGATTTTTACCCCAAAAGTTTTTTATTAAAATAAATTCGATAAAAATCAAAAAAAAATCCGATTTAAATAAAAAAAATCTGATTTTTTTGATTTTTTAAAAAAAATCATTGATTTTTATCCACCCTGCCAAATATACTATATACACCTGTGTTGCTCTACCAGCCAATCCTGCAATCGGGAGAATAGGTTGGGTGAGAGATCTCATGGCACCAAACTATTTTGTAGGTAGCAAGGCTGAAGGCAGATATAGTAATTAAAATCCAATTCCATTTCTTCCTAATCGGATTAAAATATTTGCTCTTTAATCCCTCTGGTGCTGAAGATTTACAGAGTTAACTGCCTAATTCTTAATGCGTCGACCCAAGTAGGACCGTGGGGGCAAATTAAAGGGAAGTTAATACTAGCTAGTGCTATCCATCATACTAGAAACTGGCTGGAAACTGGGAAATCATGAGTTTAGTCTCACCTTGGATGCTAAACCAGGTGGTAATCTTGAACCAGTCACTCTCAGTCCTAGGAAACGACAAGGGCAAACACCAGAGGAGATGAGGGCTTCGCTTCCTTTTGGCTCAGCACCCTTCCTGCTTTTACAAGAAAGGAACTGCTGGGACTTCCCCTGCTTTGGAAAGCGACAGCCTTGAACTGATCTCTGTTCCAAGACAGTCAGAAATGCCCAGCCCACTGTTTGCTCAGACAAGCTAGATCTGATATTTGGGCTACTCTGGAGCACCCATGAACTGCATCTGAAATATCAAAGGAAGGCACTTATGTGGGCTGGAAGTGGGATCAAAGGCTGATTCCCAAAATATTATCCAGGGGATGGACAAATAGTTGGCCCAAACATTTCCTCCTGGGCCCCAAAAACCTCACCTGCTCATTCCCATGATTGAGGTCTCTCTCAATCAGTGGTGGGATTCAAAAAGTTTTACTACGGGTTCTGTGGGCGTGGCTTGGTGGGCGTGGCATGGCATGGCTTGGTGGGCGTGGCAGGGAAAGGATACTGTAAAATCCCCATTTCCTCCCAATCAGCTGGGACTCGAGAGGCAGAGAATAGATGGGGGCAGGGCCAGCCAGAGGTGGTATTTACCGGTTCTCCGAACTACTCAAAATTTCCGCTACCAGTTCTCCAGAATTGGTCAGAACCTGCTGAATACCACCTCTGCTCTCAACCCCCTGTTGATGCCCTTTCTTAGCCTAGAGAATAAGCTGGTTTTCATTGCCAGAAAGCTGATGGCCCTGGAGGCAGAGAGCTATACCCTCATCAGTTGGGTCTGTTTTACCAAAACAACCCTCTTTAAAGGGAGGCGCTAACCCTTCTACTTATTCTGGTGCTAGGGAATCTTTCTCAAAGTCCTTACGCCATTGGAACCCTTATTTGCAGGGGGATGGAGGGAGAGTCTCCAAGACAATAGTCCTTTGTGTTAGTTAGAACAAGGGACCAGTCTTCAGCGAGTCCTATGAAGAAAACCCACCCCGGCTAAACTCTGGCCTTTCAAAAGACTCTGAAAACATGTTTTTGGCCAATAGGCAAGGAGATCAGGAAATAGGGCAGAGTCAGCACAGAGGTAGAATGTTACTGTTAAATACGATTATGTCAACTATGAATCTTATTAATCTTTATGATGGTTTTAATATATTTATATGTTGTTGTATTTTATGATTCTTGACAAATATATTTCATTTTTTCTTTATGTACACTGAGAGCGTATGCACCAAAGACAAATTCCTTGTGTGTCCAATCATACTTGGCCAATAAAGAATTCTATTCTATTCTATTTCCACATTGTTTCCTTCCTTTTGTTTTTCTTGTTCTTTAAATTGTTCCTTTGGTATTGTTTGTCATTGTTGTTTTTATGTTGGCTTTAATTATTTGTAAACCCCCCCCCCTCAGTCATACATATGACTTCGGCAACTATATACCTGCGAATAATAAAGAAAGAAAGAACAAAGTATACATAAATAAAGAACAAAGGGCATCATCTGAAGCTAGGCTGGAAGTTCAGGATAAAATCATAATTGGGAACAGGCAGCGGATTAACTGTATGATCTAATGGTTGAGAAGTTGGCTAGGAAATCCCAGTGCAAACTTTGGACCAGCTGTATTCTCTCTCTGCCAAGTGACTTCACAGGGTTGTTATAGTGGGGGAAAATAGGAAGAGGGAGCAGTATATACACTGTTTTCAATTCTCCATGATAGGCAAGATATTCAATAAATAAATATCACACAGCCTCCTCAAGAAAGAGAAGACGACGAATAACTGACTAGGTAACTGGAAAAAGCAGAGCAGAGAGAGTAGTAAAGCAAGCCCCAATGAAATCCACTCCAGTCATGGATGTCTTGGCTCAAGATTAGGATATCGAAGCCATGGGATGTGACTGTCCCGAGTAGAAGACACTGGGAAATAGATATGGTAGCCACCGCCACCACTGCTCTGCTTTTCCTCAGAATCACTCCTCCAGCAATATCCCTTATATGTGCTTATACTAACTGTTTTGTGTCCCCTAAACTACTTTGGCACAGTGGTTCAAGGCACTAGGCTTTAACCAAAGGTAGGTTAAATAGTGACACGTATGTTTACTTTGCAAAGTTTGCACAATTGTATTTTACTTGGCAAAATTTGAACTTATTTGTGCACGTTTTCTCCTCCCTTTTTAAAGGCCATATAAACTAAGCTGCATGTACAATCTGTTCAGGAACTTGTTCTAAGTATTTTTCTATCTGTATTATCACGATTTCCCCTATGCAGGATAAGCAAATTAGCACCATTTTGGAATGTACACAAGTCCATTTGTACCTCCGTAAACTGATAGCCAATATTAAATTCTTAATATTAAGAATTAAAATTGATTAATTGATTAATATTAAGAATTTAATATTCTTAATATTAAGTTCTTATTAAAATTATTTAAAATTTTAAAATTAAATATTCTAATCAATATTCTTAATATTGATTAATATTAAGATATTGAAGACTACTCAGCCATCTTAGTCCCAGTACTCTTCAATATCTTCATAAATAACTTAGATCAGGGAATAGAAGGTAAACTTATCAAATTTGCAGATGACATTAAACTGGAAGGAATATCCAACACTCCAGATGACAGGCTCAGGATCCAAATGGATCTTGACAGACTTGAACATTGGCCCTATCTAACAAAATGAAATTTATTGTAGAGAAAAGTAAGGTTTTACATCTAGGCAGGAAAAACCAAATGTACAAGTACTGATTGAAAGTAGTAACTGTGAGAAGGATCTTGAAGCCCTAATGGACAATCATTTAAATATGAGCAAGCAGTGTGTAGCCACTGGGAAAAAAAAAAAACTAATACAATCCTTGGTTGCATAAACAGAGGGATAGAGTCAAATCTTGATATGTGAAGTATTAGTACCTCTTTATAAAACCTTAGTATGACCCCATCTGGAATCCTGCATCCAGTTATGGTCATCACATTATGAAAAACTTGTTGAGACTTTGGAAAAAGTGCAGAGAAGAGCAACGAAGATGATTAAGGGCCTGGAGACTAAAACATATGAAGAATGGTTGCAGGAACTGAATATGGCTACTCTAGAGACAAGAAGGACTAGGGGTGACATGATAGCAATGTTGCAATATTTGAGGGACTGCCACAAAGAAGAGAGGGTCAACCTATTTTTCAGAGCACCAGAAGGCAAGACAAGAAGCAATGGATGGAAATTAATCAAGGAGAGAAGCAACCTAAAACTAAAGAGAAACTTCCTAACAGTGAGGACAATTAACTAGTGGAACAGCTTGTCTTCAGAAGTTGTGGGTGTTTCATCACTGTTTAAGAAGAGATTGGACAGCCACTTGTCTGAACTGATATTGGGTTTCCTGCTTGAGCAGGGGATTGGACCAGAAGACTTCCAAGATCCCTTCCAATTCCATTATTTCTGCCTTCTGTGTTCTGTAAATCCACCCAGATGGATCTTCAGGTCACAAGAGACATTTCCTACAAGATCACCGAGAATAGTGAAAAGTCTCCTGAGTTCCCCATGGGAAAATTGTGATGTAAACATGCACAGCTAGGCACTGGCCCCTGTCCACAACAGTGGCTTAGCTGAACACAGTCCAGGATCCAAAGCACTAAGAGAACCCAATTAGAAACCTTTTGGAGATGCTACAAGATGAAAAGTGACGGTGGAAGAAGTGAAAGAACAGCAGCACAGCCTGAAGAGGATGATGGATTCTCCTTCCTTGGAAGATTCAATAGAGAAATGTTTGTCTAGAACACGGGTGTCAAACTTGATTGCGTCACATGAACGTATTGCGACGTATCGCACCATTTTTTGCCTTTGCGGAGCTGGGATGGGTGTGGCCTATACGTGATGCATCCAGTCCATGGGCTGCCGATTTGACACCCCTGGTCTAGAAGAGTGAAGTTCAATTCACAGAATTCCCAGAAGTCTGGAAGTTGAAATCCATCCAGCCGCCAAGGTAAAGAAACAGTGCTATAGGGCAAATAATCCAGATCCAAACAGAAAAGCTTATTTCTAGAATGTAAAGATTGAGCTCCAAACTTCTACATCAACCCGCAACATCTGATTATGGAAGTTATATCCGTCGGCCCATATAGAGGACCCCAGGTTGGGTAAGTCAATTCTTAAATATTCTCCATCTTTTGCACTATCTCTCTCTCTTTTACGACTAGAATTAAAAAATAAAAAATTTGGAAGGAAAAGAGGGAGAAAACAGAGGAGGAAAATGCAGGGGGGGGGGAAACAGAGCTGGAGCCAAAAGACAGAAACAGATACCACAGAGAGGAGGGGGTCAAGCTATTTTCCAAAGCACCTGAAGGCCAGACAAGGAATAATGGATGGAAACTGAACAAGGGAGAGATTCAACCTGGAAATAAGGAGGAATTTTCTGACAGTGAGAGCAATCAACCAATAGATCAGAAGTTGCCTTCGGAAGTTGTGGGAGCTTCATCACTGGAAGCTTTCAAGAAGAGACTGGACTGCCGTCTGTCAGAAATGGTGTAGGGTTTACTGCTTGGCCGGGGGTTGGACTAGATGACCCTACAAGGTCCCTTCCAACGCTTTTAAATCTGTTGTCTCCGCTGCTTCGGGACGTCGCCGCCCTACGCAAAACCCGCAAGAAGGCAAAAGACAAGAGGCGACCACGACTCCAGGGTCCTATCATATGAAGGGCTGACAGACAATCCCCCCCCCCCGCTCCACCCGGACCCGCCGGACTCACCTGCGAAGCCGAACCGCCGCTTAGGCGGCCGCCAAGCCTGGATGCCAAATTCAAGCGGCTCCAAGGCACACAGCCTGCCCCCCACCCCGGGTGCGCCCATTGGCTGGAATCCCGCAAGACCCGTCACGATTGGCTCCCTGACCAGTAAGGCTAAGGGCGAGGGCGGGGCTTTAGGGCGGAGAAGGCACGTGGAGGAAGAGGATGCTGAAGCCGGAGACGGGATGTTTGTTTTCTGCCCGCTTTCTGTGCTGGACGGTGGGAGGCGGTGGAAGGGCCGAGGGAGCGATAGGGATCCCATAGGCTTCCCCAAAGCAGATCCTACTGCAGGTTAAGGCTGTTTAC